ATTGGGCTGAGAGCCAATCTATGGGAGTGAGTCCATTTCTAGGCCCGAAGGGTAACCCAGGGGCATAGTCTTGGGGGTTCTACCAGTCCTTATCTAACTAGTAATTCTGGTCATTTTTATGTCTTTGAATTTTATTGCACATTTTGCTCCCATTCTATTCAGGTTCTCCAGTTTTTATCCCTTTCCGAGTGGTTGGCACTGGTAGCTAGGCACCGTCTAGTTCTTTCTGGTCTTGGGGTCATGTAGCCTGAGGTCCTCGTGGTCCATCTTTCTTTAGACTAGTTATTTCCAGATGTCTTTGATTTTCCTCACTCTTCTTTGATTCAGATGAGAGGAGACCAATAGTTGCATCTTAGATGATCACTCAAAAGCTTTTAAGACCCCAGTAACTATTCACCAAAGTAGATTGCAGAACAAGATTTTTATGTACTATGTCATGGCAATTAAGCATGATGTCACCCAAGACTATGGTCATAAGTCCACAGGCCTGGTGATTCTCTCTCTCAAGGTGTTTGGTTGTCTCTGAGAAGTTACTCCAACTCAGTCTTCTGTTGCTTCTGTAATGTATGTGGGTAATTTTGTAGATGTATGTAGTGCATATGTAAGATTATTTTCAGCCAAATCTATCCTTGGTCTAGGGTATATTCCTGATCATCAACCCCAACCTGATCTTCTCCCCTGTCTAAGAATTTATCCATACGCTGGTGTTTGGTGTTAACGGTAATGAAGCATTGTGCATGTACTAGTATTTGCCTCTGTTGTCTATATGTTATCTGCATGTTTCAGTGTCCTTCCTTTCCCCAATGTCATCATGCTGGTCACAGACTCTTTCCATACCGTCCCTTCCCTTACCCAAATCAAATGTGACTTCCAACTAGTCCAGAATTTCTCTCCCCTTCCCTCCCATCCCGATAACCTACAAAGTGAGTTCCTTTCCCAAGCAAACCCTTCTTTCACTTTTTACAGTAATGGGCTCATGCAATACTTGTTTTTCTGCAATTGACTTATTTCACTCAGCATAATGTTGTTCATCCATGTTGTGAGATGATTTGCATATGCTTCACTATTCTTTAATGTAGCATAGTATTCCATTGTGTGAATGTAGCATAATTTGGTTATTCATTCATCTGCTGATGGTCATTTATGTTATTTCCATCTCTATACTATAGTGAATTGCGCTGCGATGAACATGGATGTGCGTATATCTGTTCATGTCCTATCTCTCACCTCTTCAGGATGTATTCCTAGTAATGGGATTGTTGGATCAAATGGTATTTTTAGTTTTTAGTTTTTTAAGGAAACGCTGTACCATTTTCCATAATGGTCATACCATTTTGTAGTCCCACCAGCAGTGTATGAGAGTTCCAATCTCTCCACAACCTCACCAGCATTTGATATTTTCTGTCTTGTTGAACTTTGCTATTATTGCTGAGGTGAGATGATATCTCACTGGTGTTTTGATTTGCATCTCTCTAATGGCTAATGTTTGTGTTTTATTGACTATGCAAAGGCATTTGATTGTGTGGATCATGACAAATTATGGATAACATTGAGAAGAATGGGAATCCCTGAGC